AGTCTGGACCTTGATATAGCATGCCATTCAACAATTGCGGATTGTGTTTGACCCCAAAATCCAAAACTATACACAGCTTTTCCGGGTTTGGGGTTCAGAAGCGCAGCATGTGGCTAGTACCAACGCGGACGAAAGTCACAATGTAACTGTTTCCCTGGGACTGGCACAGCATATCCCTTTTCTATAGTCATCTTTATCGTTTGTGCGTAGCGGAACCGTAGCGCTTCGTCATTAATTAAGCGCCGCTTCAGGCTGTTCAGCCTCGAGAGCGCTGACGCATAGTTTCCTATCCCGGTATTGATACCCTTCTTTCCTGGCAGAAGGACCACGAAGTGCCCATCGACGAACATTGTACCGGACGCTACAATAGCCATGGCCTCCGTATCTTCTACGGAAAGGACTTGATCTAATAACGGGGCGTCTGCAAACTCTGCATTGTAAATTTGCACCACCTGATGCATTAAATTTGAGTCTTCTGCAGCCAAGCAGTTGACCGATTTCAATTCATACGAAGTGAAATCTGGAGGTCCAAAATTCAACCAAACTAACAGCGTCCGAACTGCATAAGGATTCTTTTGACCGCCGATCGCCATTGTTCGAGTACCCAATGCGCCTTCGGTATATCGCACCCAACCAATAGCAGAACTTCTTCATCAAAGTATTCTACCGGAAGGTCTCCCAAATGGGGCCATTTTTTCATTCTTTCAGAGATGTCTCTCACCGGCTTATGAACGGGTAATTCTTTTATAACAACAGCTTGCTCTACACATACTGATTTCGTTTCATTTAGAGGCAGTACCTGAAAAGCACCGCTGAAAAACATTGCCTCGATTGATTCACTCAGTGTATTTACCTTTGAGTGTTTTTTTCTTGGTTTAGCGGCAATTGGAGCAGTGCACTCGCCTTATTAAGCGCCGTGTCCTTTCCATGCGTGAACCGGGCCAACGACCTGAATAGGGTCCACCAATGGACCACCGAGCGGGACTTGCCACTCAACGTGCACAAATGCGTCCACCTAGTGGCTGCAGGCACGAGCACAATGTGCCGTATCTAGGGATGGGAAGCGATGCTACAGCAGTACTAACAAGGGCAGCCACCAAGGACCTTGGAGTGGCAATCCAAGCGGACTTCTAGCCTCGAGCACAGTGCGTTAAGGCTGCCCTAATAGCATCAAGGGCTCTTTACCAGCTGCGTCGAGTAGTGGGCTCAAGGAAACCAGAGCTACTACCCCCTCTGTAAAAGGCATTTTTCCGGCCGCACTTAGAATATTGTGTGTAGGCCTGGAGACCATACCTGGTCAGATACATAAAGGTGCTAGAGCAGGTACAGAGGCGATTCACTGGGTGGTTCCCTGACCTAAGGTGGAGGGCATACTAGAACAGGCCGCAGCAGTTGAATCTCTTCTCTTTCAAACGGAGAAAAAGACAAGGGGACCTCATTGAGGCTTTCAAAATCCTCAAAGGTCTCTTCAGCATAAACGGGCAACCGCTACTGCCAATTGGTGAACACCAAAACTTGAGAGGTCGTAGCCTCAAGTTAAAACAGAATCGTGTCAGGACCAGATTACGAACACAGTTCTTTACGGAAAGAGTGGTAAATGATTGGAACAAACTCCCAGAGGAGGTGATAGGGGTCAAGTCAGTTGTGAGCTTCAAACACCGACTCGATGGCGTTTGGGAGCACATATTCGAGTCGGGCGTAGCTGACTGACTGAGTCACCGAGCGGGATCCTAGTGAAAGCGCTCAGCAGATAAAATTCTCACTTTTTACATTTTTACTTTTTCATCCCCTTCTAAGCCCAACGAATCTTCACTTACCGCTACCGTTGGCACCCATCCCGCTGCTTATATTACCTCTGCTTCTATTACTTTCCTAATCATGTCTATCTCATTCCCCAGAAAAATTTCACTCCGGAATGCCTCACTCAACCCTTGGACGTTGCAGGCTTATCCCTTTTGTGATTTAGTTTCTGGACAGACCGCCCGCCAATTGGCTTACAGATAACAACGATGACCCTGCACGCACGAAGTGGAATCAGGTCGGGACATCCGAGTCTGCTTACCCTTTTATAAAAGAAGATTAATTTCATTTCTCCTGTTGTCGGAGCACCAGGGGATCGAAGGAGATCGCCAGTGCAAGAATCTGGATACTTTGGCAATTGCCGTCACGGTCCTGGATACCAACCGAACTGAAGTGTGTTTTCCTTTTCCAGAACCGCACTCACTCAAGTTCACGTGAACGAAATAACACAATTGTCGCATCGCCGTGGTGCTCCCAGGCTCATTGATGCAAGAAACTGGACTGCAACACCGCAAGTCCTGTGAACTTTCCTGTCCTGTCCTTTGTAAATCATACCAGTAAAGATTACGGGACCTCGATCTATTTTCGCTAGAACGAAGGCGAATTAGAGGAGACCTCATAGAAGCGGTTAAAATGATGAGGGGTTTCACTGGGATTCTTCCCGAGGAACACTTCACTGATGCCCCGTATGCTGGTACCACGGGCCACGAGCAAAAACTGATGAAGAAAAAAATGTAGGTTAGGTGTGAGGTCCAACTACTTCAGCAATAGAATAGTAATAGATGGAATAGATCACCTGAGGAACTAGTCAACCTGCCTAGTATCCACACCTTCAAACTGGCTTTGTATAAGAGGTGGTTAGAACTGTTTCCGAACGAGAAGTACTGAACAGGATGCGACTGTTAGGTTTATAACATTTTTGTATGCAATCTGGAACGCTCCCACATTGAAGTCTCTCGCTGACACGGCGATAGGCGAATTAACCGATCAATAGAAGAGGTGAATGCGCACTCGTGAACACACCACCGAAAGAATTCTGGACGCTTGATTGGTCGTAGGCCACTACCAGTCCTGTGCAAACGGACCTGATCTGACCTGTCCTGTTCTGTCCTGTCCTGTTCATCAGTTTGGATAATGCTGATGGAGGCCGGACCTATGAATACTACTGAAAAACATTTTGAACGACTGATTGGCCGTGGAAATTTCGTGTCCCGTATAAACTGAACTGAATTGAACTGAACTGACCTTAACGGAATAATGTTGTTTTATCGAACAGTGCAAAGCGTGGCTTTTCGTAAAGATTTGATGTACCATCCTCGAAACTGTAACGGGGCATTTGAACAGTCCGCGTGTAATTTCATCTTCCTGTTGCTCTATTTACAGACATGCACAGACCAGGAAGATATTCAAGAACACCAGGACGCGGGTCCTATCCCCGACAACACCAAACCGACCGAATGTTTTACTGATTGTTCCCCTCCCTTGGTTATGTACACTTATTGCTTCGCTTGCTTCGTGACGATATACGTGTTTTCCGGTGTCTCTGTCTTTTTACCACGATTCCGCATCCGAGTGCGTGCGTTGAGCGGGTCCGATGCCTCATCAGCCACCACTCTTCAGACCGGGCGATGATTTTGAAGATTGGGAATTCCGCGTTGGGCTCTACGTTGCCGACGCAGCTTAAACCACAATGGGTCCTGTGATCTTGAGCTTCTTTGGAGAGGAAGCATCACGTATATTCCGTTCCGCTCGTGTCTCAACCTTCGCACCTGCACCGCAAATACTCGCAACCCTGCACAAGCTCTTCGCGCGGACCGAAAATATAGCCATATGGCGGGAACGGCTACTCGAAAGGCGTCAGCAACTTGGTGAGACTGTGGACGCATACGTCTGGGCTCTGAGATCGATCGCTTCGAAAGCATTCTCGGGGTCCGGCGTGGAGGAGATCGAGCTGGCTGTCTGCCAACAGTTCTGCCGCGGGGTAAACAACGTGCCATTGAAGAATAAATTCTTGACGAAGCCCCCGGTCGACCTGGATGCAGCCGTGACAAAGGCCAGAGGACTCGAGGCGGTAGAGCATTTGTCGACGGAAGTGGGCAGCATGCTCGCGTCGTACAACGCATCCGCGGCACCTCCAGAAGCGACCACGAATGAAGCAGTGCCAGTGGCCAATACGTCTGCTTACTGTACATGTCCCCAATGCAGATGTCGTGATGGCAACCGGAGACCACAAAGATACTACCACCCTCCCGGCATCGAGAGACCAGGAAGGTCTAAGTCCTATGATGATTGCATTGCCTCAGTATCGCTGAGTTCACATAGTTGTCCATTTACGGCTATTGGGCTAATTCAAGGATTTGATATGAAACTTCTGATTGATACCGGGGCTTCATGTTCATTGGTATCTGCCGGGATGTTGAGATTATTAGGCAGACCATCTGAACCAAGGAGCACAAAGAGGAGCATAATTACAACTAACGGACAAGCCATGGAAGTTAAGGGAACCGTTAGTTTTGGTGTGCGGTTTGGGAGGTTCATGGCGAAGCAGGCGTTCATGGCATGTGAATTGTTCCAATGGGATGCTATACTTGTAGTGATCTTTCTCAACCAAAATGAAGCCGCTATCGATACCCGGAGAGGGTTAATGTGGCTTAGTGTGGTTATTGTTGCAGCCCATGTAATCCGGCAATCCACCTCACCATGGGCATCCCCTATCGTTCTTGGTAAGAAGAAAGACGGTAGCCTGCTACTCTGCGTTGACTACCGGAAGATGAATGCAGTAACCCGAAAGGACTCATTTCCATTACCACGTATAGACTCAACCTTTGATGCGCTGCAGGGATCCTCATGCTTCTCAACGCTCGACTTGACATCAGGATATTGACAGGTGGAGAACAAGCCCTCAGACTGCGAAAAGACAGCCTTTCTGGTTCCGTCGGGTCTATACGAATTCCGGACCATGCCATTCGAGTTAGCTAACGCACCAGCTACATTTCAACGTCCGATGCAACACGTTCTCCACGGACTGACACCGAGCAACTGTTTAGTATATCTGGACGATATAATTATCCACGGTCGGACAGTAGAAGAGCATAACAAACACCTTGAAAATGTGTTGAGGAGACTGAGGGACGCAGAATTGAAGCTCAGAGGCGCGAAGTGCAATTTTCTGCGTAGGAAGGTCACCTTTTCAGGTCACATNTTAGGTCACATAATCACGCCTGAGGGGGTACAGACGGACCCAGCGAAATGCGACGCAATCTCATCGTGGCCCACGCCAAAATCGACGGAACAGGTCCGTAGTTTCCTAGGATTAGCATCGTACTATCGCCGGTTCGTCAGAGATTTCGCCCGCATCGCTGCTCCGATTCACCGACTAACGGAAAAAGGGCGAAGGTTCGCATGGACGGAGGAGTGTGAGAGGGCTTTTAAAACACTGAAAACCAAGCTGACATCGCCACCCATACTGGGGTTGCCAGACACCAATCAATCGGCGGGCTCTTTCATCTTGGATACGGATGCCAGTGAATCAGCTATAGGAGCTGTATTGTCGCAGGAAACACCACAGGGGGAGAAAGTTATATCTTATGCCAGTCGTGCGCTAACAAGTTGTGAACGGAGATATAGCACGACTCGCAGGGAGTTGCTCGCGTTGGTTCACTTCTTGAAACACTTCAGGCTTTACNATTCACTCATTTGGCTGAGGAATTTTCACAATCCTGAAGGTCAAACGGCAAGATGGATTGAGAGCCCTCGAGAAAACCAATTCACGTGTGAGCACAGACCTGGGACACGTCGAGCGAACGCCGATGCTCTATCTCGAAGGGCTAGTGCAGAACAGATAAATGCACTAGTCGTGTCGTCCGAGGCCAACGAGGACTGGGCGGTCGAGCAAGCCAACGACCCTTACATCAGAAACACATACGAATGTCAAAGAGACGGTGCGTCCAAGCAATGGGGGGTAGAAATGAAGGACTGCTCGGCTGCGGAGCGTGCGCTTGTAAATCATTGGAGCAGTTTGAGAATGATTGGTGAGGTTTTATTTGGAGATGACAAGTTCGGACCTAAGCTGATTACACCACAAACCAAGGTGCCGCCGCTGATAGAACGAGTACACCAGCAAGCTGGGCACGGCGGCCAACTCAAAACAGAAGCAGCCTTGCGACAGAGATACTGGTGGCCGAAACTTCACGAAGACCTTGTGGAGTTCTGCACGCAGAGCGAGATATGTGCAGCAATTAAGTGTGGACCGCAATATCCCAGAGCTCCATCAGAACCGATGCCCGTGAATGAACCAGGGNAGTAGATTGGGGGTAGATTTAATGGGTCCCCTCCCCACAACGACATCAGGTAATCGTTATGTGCTGGTGATGGTGGACTACTTCACCAAATGGTGCGAAGCTGTCCCGGTGAGAAATCAAGAAGCGAATACTGTGGCTGCAAGCATCGTTAACGAATGGATTTCTCGCTACGGCGTCCCCCTGAGTATTCACTCCGACCAAGGGCCAGCTTTCGAAAGCCAACTATTGCAAGGGGTGTGCCAGTTGCTAAACATAAAGCAAACTCGCGCAACTCCGTATCACCCACAGGGCAATGGCCTTGTCGAGCGCACGAACCGAACCATCAAAGGTATCCTGCAGGCTTGCATGGAGAGGCATAATGCGGACCGATGGGATGAACTAATACCAGGATGCATGCTGGCATACCGATCTGCAGTTCATACATCTACGGGAATGACACTGGCATACCTCACCTTTGGCCGGGAACTCCGCCTACCAATAAACGTCACAACTCTGGTCGCACCCGCAGAGAAGGTATCAACATCGCAGTTTGCTCAAGAACTACGTCAGAAGCTGCACACTGCCTTCGACTCGGCCAATCGTGTAAACCACCAGGCACATCTGCGGCAGAAACAGCATTACGATCGGAGTGTGAACGGACCTTCATATGCCAAAGGGGATAAGGTTTGGCTGCACCGACCCAAGCCCCCGGTGGGCACCTGGTCAAAGTTTCACCGTCCATGGAAGGGACCGTACGAAATTGTATTTATACGCTCCCCGATGATGTACGTCATCCAAGACATATCGTCCGCCACTGCTAATGTGTTGACGGTGCACTACTATCAACTGAAGCCTGCCGGGCACCCACGACTGTCCGAACCACCGCAGCTCGTACCTCCAGGATGTGTCCTAGTAGTAGAACGTACAGAAGAAGTACCCCGGGGTGGGGTGGGGCNCCCTCGAAACTGTAACGGGGCATTTGAACAGTCCGCGTGTAATTTCATCTTCCTGTTGCTCTATTTACAGACATGCACAGACCAGGAAGATATTCAAGAACACCAGGACGCGGGTCCTATCCCCGACAACACCAAACCGACCGAATGTTTTACTGATTGTTCCCCTCCCTTGGTTATGTACACTTATTGCTTCGCTTGCTTCGTGACGATATACGTGTTTTCCGGTGTCTCTGTCTTTTTACCACGATTCCGCATCCGAGTGCGTGCCTTGAGCGGGTCCATATTGACTCCCCGTGTTTCGTTACAGCGAGCTTCCGAGGTTACCGGTTTCACGCAATAGAACCTGCTACCACCTGCACACCGCCGAAGGAATTCTGGACGCTTTATTGGCCTGTGGCCAATACCAGTCCTGTGCAGTCTGACCTGTCCTGTCCTGTTTTGTCTTCAAGTCTTGAATTGACTCTCGGGTTCGAGGCTGGCACTCAATGGTCCCGGATCCCTGTCTTGTCCTTGTGCTGTCCTGTTCATCATTTTGATCCTACGGCTAGGAAAATGCTTCACCGAAAGGTAACAAGGGGAGGCCTGTGCTTGTCGAGTTCAGCAACCCTCGACACAGAGACTCTTTTCTAGCAGCTTCTGCTCTACTGAGGGCAGAGACAAAAGGGTTATTTCTGTAGAGCCTGACAACGCTAGCAAGGGCCGAACAAACAAACAGCTGCCGACCGTAACGCCCTCGAATCTGCCCTTCCTACGGCTTCCCAAGGTGACAAACAAGGGAACACCCACTGCAGTAACATCACCCTCTAGTCGGCCCGGTTTAAGCATCCTAGCCAACCCACAGCCTCCCACCCTCAATTTGCAAGCCCAGGCTAGAAACGCCTGGCACACCCAGCAAACCTTCCGATGCAAAAAACGG